TTTTTCTTCTTCTTCTTTTTTCTTTTTTGAAACAGCGTCTTGCTCTATTGCCCAGGCTGGAGTGCAGTGGCATGATCTTTGCTTACTGCAGCCTTGAACTCCCTCCCTCAACTGATCCTCCCACCTCAGCCTGCCAAGTAGCTGGAACTGCAGGCATGTGCCACCATGCCTGGCTAAATTTTTGTATTTTTTGATAGACATGGGGTTTTGCCACGTTGCCCAGGCTGGTCTTGAACTCCTCGGCTCAAGTGGTCCACCCACCTCAGCCTCCCAAAGTGCTGGGATTATAAGCATGAGCCACTGAGCCTGGCTCCTGTATTTTTCTATAAATACATATCTTATATAAGGAGAATCATTCTATGATACTGTTTTTAAGCCTTCTTTTTAACAATATAATAAGAATATCAATAATTATGTATCTACAATATCACTGTAAGATCTTCAAAATAAAAAATTTTTATGAGAAAAATACTTTATAAAATATATCTGTTTTCTAAAAAGAGAGCAATCATAAAATAATACATACTTTTAATGAGAAGCAGGACTTACCTAGATGACTTATGTGCTACTTAACACTTTTCTATATTTTTCAAATATGTCCACTCCCCAAGATAACTGCCGCTAATATTTTGGTATATTTCCTAATAATTTTTGTTTTGTTTTTTGAGATGGAGTCTCCCTGTGTTGCTCAGGCTGGAGTGCAGTGGTGCAATCTCAGCTCACTGCAGCCTCCGTCCCCTGGGTTCAAGTGATTCTCCTGCCTCAGTCTCCCACATAGCTGGGATTACAGGCACCCGCCACCATACCCTGATAATTTTTTGTATTTTTAGTAGAGATGGGGTCTCACCATGTTGGCCAGCTGGTCTCGAACTCCTGGCCTCAAGTGATCCGCCCGCCTTGGCCTCCCAAAGTGCTAGGATTACAGATGTGAGCCACCACGTCCAGCTAATTTTTTTGTATTTTTAGTAGAGACGGGGTTTCACCATGTTAGCCAGGATGGTCTCTATCTGATACTAACAAGTGAGCAGAAATCCTTAAAACCAGTCTGTTCAGACCCAGTGATAGCCTTAAAAATGGTTTACTTCCTGACCCAGTGACTGTACCTCTACAGAATTGAATCCTGAGGAGGACTCAGACAGGGTCACAAAATAATTCAGGGGCTCAACTGTTCACCACGGCATTATTGATGCAGTGTGAAAAATCAGAAATAATCCAAACAGCCCATTGTTGAAGAATAAAAAAACCCACAGCGGTTCCACATGAACGCCCATCATATAGCCATCAGTAATGTGGGCAGATGACCACCAGACACTTTTAGGTGATTTAATCAGGGTGCAAAATCCTATACAGCATGAGTCCAATCATGTTTTGAAGCATGCTTTTAAAAATTATGGCCGGGCGTGGTGGCTCAATTACAATATTATATTTAAATGTAAAAATATGCTTTTTTCCCAAAAAAAAATCGAAATAAATTTTAAATCAAAAGATTACCCAGTCTGGGCAACATGGCAAAACCCCATCTCTACCAAAAAATACAAAAGTTAGCCAGGTGTGGTGGTATGAACCCATAGTGGTCCCAGCTATTCGGGAAGTTGAGGTGGGAGGATCCCTGGAGCCCTGGAGGTCCAGGCTACAGTGAGTTACTGCACTCTAGCTGAGACGACAGAATAAGACCCTGTCTCAAAAGAAAAAAAAAAAAAAAAAAGATAGGTTACCAATCATATTAAAGTTTTAAAATAAAAGAAAAAAATCTTAATATAGCCATCATTAACATTTTGACTAATCTCTTTCCCACCCTTTTTTGAATTTTACATACTTGGAATAAAAGTATACGTAGTTTTTGACCAGGCACAGTGGCTTACACCTGTAATCCCAGCACTTTTGGGAGGCTGAGGCAGGAGGATCGCTTGAGGCCAGGAGTTCAAGACCAGCCTGGCCAACATGATGAAACCTCATCACTACTAAAAATACAAAAATTAGTCGGGCATGGTGGTGCAGGCCTGTAATCCCAGCTACTCAGGAGGCTGAGGCAGGAGAATCACTTAAATCTGGGAGATGGAGGTTGCAGTGAGCCGAGATTCATGCCACTACACTCCAGCCTGGGCGACAGAGTGAGACTGCATCTCAAAAAAAAAAAAAAAGTCTCTATAGTTTTGTATGCTGCTTTTTAATTTGACATACCAGTGCAAGCCTTTCTTCCACGTTGCTATATAGTCTTCAGAACTATAATAATTTGATTACAAATTATTCCATTGACTTAATTTATCAGAATTTATTTAACCATTTGCCTAATAACAGTGAGGTTATTTCCATATTTTTACCTTTATAACACTGTAGTGAATGTGGACTATTTTCTTAGGTTCAGATCCCCGAAGTGGATGGACTTGGTCTAAATTTACATTATTTACAGTTTTGTTCATTCGGATTTTTCACTAATTCATGCTGGTCTGTCTTCAGGTTATTCTCAATCATTAAAGCTTAATCTTAAAGGACCATGTGACAATCAGGACAGTTCCACTGGCAGAGCCTCTGTGGCTACTGGGCTGTCCTTAGTAACCAAAGGGGTCAGGAGACTGTCTCGTTTGCAGAGTGACCCTTAGGGGGCTCCGGATGTTTCAGACTCAACACAAGAGTACAAAACAGAGCGCTTTTCTTGAGTGCCGCTCTGGTTCCACAGTGAATGCACTCGGCTGCCACTCACAGAAAGCTTTTATTCCACAACCTTTGCCAGCAGGGAAGGAAAATATACAGAAGCAGGGAGGTAATCATTATGTAACCCCCCTCCTTTTTGTTTTTCCTTTTTCGTTTTGTAAGGACATCATCCACTAAGGATGGAAATGCATTTATGGTTTCTCCTTTCTGCTAAAGCAAACTCAAGCAGCTTCATTTTCAGAAATGCAGAATTGACAGGGTTTATAAATGCTGCTTTGTTGACTGTGAGCCGTGCGGTTTGGCCCCAGAGTTATCTCAGATAGAACAAATAAATCTGGCGGCCTCCAGTTGTCTCAAACTGAGCATTAGCTCCTTCCCCCGTTGTCTCCCTCCTTGCAGAATTTCCTCTTGGCCTTCAGCACAGACTCCCTCTTCTCATTAATATGCCCTGTTAACTGCTGCCAAACCTCTAGCAGTTTAGTGCATATGTTCCCTTAATCATTTCTCTTTGTTCTAGAAGTCTGTGTTTGGTTTCTGAACCAACCATTTTCCTGCCCCTCCCATCACTATCCCTGGCTATAGCCTATGACTGTCTACCATCTACATGTTTATTTACAGAACATCCTAGATTGCCTTTGCAGTCTGCTCACAACATGCTAAATCGTCCCCTCGACCCCTGCCTCATCACCTCGAGAGCCCTGGGCCTTAGGAAGCCAGGTGGAGGGTTGCTGGACCCTCTAGAAAACAGAGGTTCCTGAAAGACAATGTTAACTCCCTGCACAAAGACTCCTTCTTAGATTTTCTGCTGGTACAACACAAGAAAAGGACGCTTTCTTCTTGGACCCAGTGGCGTACAGCACACTCGATCTCAATGAGTTATTCATCGTGTCCAAGAGAAATACTTCTGAGCTGTATTTCATGTGAGATGGAGTGGGCCTGGCACATGGGCGGCGAGGCCGGCCTGCTCGCCGAGAGCGTCCTGTGCCTGTTCCAGCAGCCGTGTGGGAAGACAGCTGTGTCACCAGCTGAGCCCCTGCCCTGTGTGTCCTGAGGTCTTTTAAACACTTAGAGGGTCTTCTGGGCTCCTCCTGTCCTAACTGAGGTCTGCACACGCCGTCAGGCGGAGCTCCGTGAGCCATCGGTCCACAGTGGACGCTGTTGTTTCTCTCTGCTTTTAAGTATTTTTCTTCTCTTGCCGAGTTCCAGCCATTTGTAAAGTTCCACCCAGTTTCTGTAGCTGGGAGGGGAGGATGATAAGCTTCTCAGAGCGTGGTCTTTCTTTAGAGCTCCTTTGTCCTCAGTAGGGCCACTGTGGAAGCCTAGAAGACTTATTATTAGAAACTTTATGTTATGACGAAATGCCATCTCTTCTGCATCCCTGTCCTGTCCGCTCCTGTCCTTCCAAAAATCAATCAATCAATCAATCAAAGAGGCCCTCTCATCTGCTCTGACAAAGAGGCCAAACCTGATCTTTGTTCTGTTGATGGATCCTACCTCGAACTGCACCTGCGCAGCACCTGATCAGCCATTCCCAGGCATGCAGAGAGAAACTGTCCTGCCACGGGGTTACAATAGGGAGAGCGCGGCTTGCAGGAAATTCTCAGAGTGGGGTTTTTTTTATGTGATTTTTTTTCTTTCCTATTTTTGAAAAAACGTTAATATCCACTCATTTGGTGGGGATGTAATGCACTTTTCTACCTATCCCCCAAAGGAAAGTTTGTATTCTTTTCAGTGAAACCATTTTAAAAGCAGGACTGAAGCCGAAAACGATGCAGGGTTCTCCTGCGTCCTCAGAAGGTGTGGATTTATTTACCATAGTTAAATCATAATTAGTTCTCAGGGGATAGTATGTCTTTTAAACAGCTTTATTGCCACCATATTGGTTTTCTGAATAATCAGAAACTGCTGTTAAGATTGTGTTCTAGTGTTCGAACAGAAACGCACCCTAAGTAGGAACAAATGTCAGGAATTGCTAGTTGTCACTTGAAGAAGGTACACACATTGGGGGTGGGGGGAGAAAGAACTTGGCAGGATATTCTGATGAAATAGAATCTAACCGAGTCTTAAATAAATGGAGTAACGCTCAGGCAGGTACACACGCCCCCTCACATGCTGTTTTTTGATATTAAAAGGTGCTTTCTTCATCTCTTTTCATTCTCACAACTGAGGTTAGAAAGGAGGGTGATATCCCCCTGGCTCCCCATTCCTGAAGGCCAGTGGAAACCACAGTTGGCCCTTCCGTGGCCACACACCCTCAGATGCATGCAAACCCTGTCCCTCCTGTGTGAGCCGTTGGTGCCGCGTGCGTGTCCATGTCTGGCCTGACCAGTCTTTCCCCCTCTTTGCAGGTTGATGTTTCAGACACCACAGGAAATGGGTTTAATAGCGATCGCAGCCCGGCAGACCCAGGGCAAAGGTCAGTCATCTTTTGTGATCATTGCTGTTGCTTTTGTTTCCTAAACTCTGCAACTCCTGTGGCCCAGGAGCCCATTGAATGTGTGTGCTGAATATCTGGGGGACTCAAGTTAGTAGTTTCTGTTTTCATAACCGCCTGGAATGGAGGAAGAGGAAGAGGGAAGCACTTAGTAGGTTCAGCCTTAGTAGAAAGTTCAGCCTTAGTAGAACCAAAGCATTCTCTCTAATCACCATGCTTATGAATCACTGGACATTTGCCTATGATGGCAAATGTGACCTACGTGAATTCCAGGCTTTGCAATTTGGGAATCCTCACTGTGCTCCAGAGACATTTATTTTCCTGAAGGTTCTCCATAAGGAGCCTTCTGTGGCTGTACCGAGCATCACGTGGGAGGCCTTTTGCATGCCAGTTCCCACCCCAGCCAGCCCTGGGCTTGCATGCACACGGTGGGCTCTGCATCAGTGCCCGTTCACACAGTGACCACAGAGAAGCAGAGTGCTGCCCAGGGCTCCACCACCTGCAGATCCCAGAGGCGAGTGCCCACATCCTCCCAGACCCATCTGGGGTCTGACCCTATACAGGGGCTGCTCCACGGGGCTTGGTCCCTCCCTGTCCCAGCCAGTGCCAGGCTCACCCAGATGTGCTTCTCACTCTCACAGGCTCTTATGACTTTTTCATAAGAACCAAAGAAATAAGAAATCTGCTGTTCTCCCTTCTTTCTCCTGAACATATCTTTCAAACATAATTCAAATGGAAAAAAAATATTTTTGGCAAAAGCTATGGATCTCAATATGTGGATTTTTTTTTTTTTTTTTTTAAGAAAAGACATTCAAGAAGAACTTTGATGAACTCTACCTCTCATTTGGATTCTTCTGTTTTTCTAACTTCAATTTTAAGAAAAGTAGGCCAGGCACGGTGGCTCATGCTATAATCCTAGCATTTTGAGAGGCCAAGGCAGAAGATCACTTGAGTCCAGGAGTTCAAGACCAACTGGGACAACTTAGCAAGACCCATCTCTTAAAAAAAAATACAAAAATACAAAAAAATACAAAAAAATACAAAAAATACAAAAATTGGCTGGGCACGGTGGTACTCACCTGTAGTCCCAACTTGAGCCCAGTGAACTGTAATTGCGCCACTGCATTCCAGCCTAGGCAACAGAGCAAGACCCTGTCTCTTAAAAAAAAAAAAAAAAAAAGGAAGGAAGAAAGAAAGAAAAGTAACAACTCAGTTAATATCAGGAACCCCTTTATAAACAGCTTTGTTGAAATATAATTCCTCCATTTAAAATATACAGTTCTAGCCGGGCGTGGTGGCTCATGCCTGTAATCCCAACACTTTGGGAGGCCGAGGCAGGCAGATCACTTGAAGTCAGGAGTTCAAGACCAGCCTGGCCAACATGATGAAACCCTGTCTCTACTAAAAATACAAAACTTACCTGGGGATGGTGGCGGACACCTTAATCCCAGTTATTTGGGAGGCTGAGGCAGGAGAATCGCTTGAACCCGGGAGGCAGAGGTTGCAGTGAGCTGAGATCACACGCACTGCACTTCAACCTGGGCGACATAGTGAGACTTCATCTTACAAAATAATAATATAAATAAATAAATAAAGTATACAGCTCTGTGGCTGTTATTTAATAGCATATTTTCTGGGCAGTGCAACCATCACCACAATAGGAATTGCTTCAAAACAGTGGCTTCCAGGACCTCTCCTGGATCAGTATATATCAGTTCAGTTTCCCAGTGTCTGTGTTTGCCTTCATGACCATATGGTGGGAATTAAACTGATAGTCATGTTCAGATGTTGTAAGACTCTGAGTCATCAAGGCACAAATAATATGCTCACAGAAGCAGAACATTATGCTGATTATTGGAAACTTTTTCAGCAACAGAGCTCAGATTTTAACAAGCTATTCTTTCATTGAGTTAAGCCCAGAATATAATAAGCATTGTAATACAATGAGAAGTGTAATAAGTCCAGGTTTATTTGAGTGTGTGGCCCTGGCATGACGTGTGTCTGTGTCTGTCCACATGGCAAGGTAGCCTGTTTCCCACTGCGCACTGTGTTCCAGGACGGGGAGGGAATGCGTGGCTGAGCCCCGTGGGATGTGCTCTTTCTACTCTGCTCATCTCCATCCCACTGAGATCCCAGCTGGGACAGAGGATCCCGTTTGTCCAGCATCTGATGTCCGTGGCTGTCGTGGAAGCGGTGAGGTCCATTCCCAAGTATCAGGTAGGTACAGTTCAGTCCCCCTCTACGACCCTGTAATGCATGCAGAATCCGGCTTATTCTTGTTTGTAGCATGTGCTTGCATAATTGGTGGCTGTAGAACCTCAGCCTACCCTTTGCACAGCTGGCAACAAAGTGCCCTCAGAGTTTTAAGAGTGCCACCAGGTGCTAATGCTGCTTCAGACTTGCCCGAATGCATTCATTCCCCAGAACTCCCTTTCTACCCAGTTTTTCAGATTTCTCAAACAGCCTGATGAGGACAATGCTTTAGATTTTGGGTTTTGTTGTTGTTTATTTATTTATTTTAATTGAGACAGGGTCTCACTCTGTCACCCAGGCTGGAGTGCAGTGGCACTGTCTCGGCTCACTGCAACCTCCACCTCCCAGGCATAAGCAGTCCTCACACCTCAACCTCCCGAGTAGCTGGGACCATAGGTGCACACCACCACGCCTGGCTATTTTTTTGTATTTTTAATAGAGATGGGGTTTCACCATGTGGCCCAGGCTGGTCTTGAACTCCTGAGCTCAAGCAATCTGCCTGCTTCAGCTTCCCAAAGTTCTGGGATTATAGGCATGAGCCACTGCACCTGGTCATGTTTGTTTATTTATTTATTTATTTTGAGACGGAGTCTCACTCTGTTACCAGGCTGGAGTGTAATGACGCCATCTCTACTCACTGCAATCTCTGCCTCCAGGGTTCAAGCGATTCTCCTGCCTCAACCTCCTGAGTAGCTGGGACTACAGGCGTGCACCATCACACATAGCTAATTTTTGTGTTGTTGGTAGAGGTGGAGTTGATAGAGACCATGTTGACCAGGATGGTCTCAGTCTCTCGACCTTGTGATCCTCCCACCTCGGCCTCCCAAAGTGCTGGGATTACAGGTGTGAGCCACCGCGCCCGGCCCCGTGTTTGTTTTTTGATTGAAGCACTGGATGAGGTTTGATTGTTGGACTGGATGGAAGTTATTCATCTGCATTTTCTGTTGAAAAGGGTTATTTGGGGACCTAAAAACCTTTCTCATTTCCTGCCTCTGTTTACCAGACTCTGCTCTAGCAGCGCTATCCTTTATCCACTGTTGACCACATACAATGTGTAGGTCCACTTGGGGCCATCTTCCCCTAGCTGTTAGGACCCGTGTGCCTGCTTCTTTATTACTGTTGGATGTTTTGTTGTCAGTTACTAAAAAGACAAGCAACAGGGAATGATTAGCTTACCCACCGAAGCATTTTCTTCCGTACTTGGGCTTCGCTTCCCACGGCCCCCTCCCAAATGTTCCTGGAAGAATTTCGTATGGGTATAAAGAGGAGATTCCTGCCTCCCTCCCCCAGCAGCTCCTATGTCAGGCTAACGAGAAACGATTGGATTGACTCCTGAAGTAAGGTGTTAAGAGCGTGACTCTCAAAGGAGACTTGGAGTCCCTGTCATCATTTCATTGAAGAAACAGTCCTTCTCACTGCCCCTTAAATCCCTCTGTGATGTATTCACCGTGTAGGAATTTTTGGTATTCCACAGATGTAGTTAATGCTGACGTCTCTGTTTCCTGTATCACATCACATTGCTGAAACGGACGTTTACTACCAGGCACCCAGCATCCTTGCATGTCTGATGGTTTGGGGCATCATACCATTACAGGGCTTCAGGTGCCCGGCCTTTAGCACCTGAGCTGTGCGTTCTGTCTAGCAGAAAGCAATCAAAATAGAAAGTCCTAGCCGGGCGCGGTGGCTCATGCCTGTAATCCCAGCACTTTGGGGAGGCTGAGGCAGGTGGATCACCTGAGGTAAGGAGTTCGAGACCAGCCTGGCCAACATGGTGAAACCCCGTCTCTACTAAAAACATAAAAATCAGCCAGGCATGGTGATGGGTCCCTGTAATCTCAGCTACTCGGGACGCTGAGGCACAAGAATCGCTTGAACTCGGGAGGTGGAAGTTGCAGTAAGCCGAGATCGTGCCATTGCACTCCAGCCTGGGCAACAGAGCGAGAACCGAATCAAAAAAAAAGAAATAGTCCTGTCATGGGAGAAATTATCTTTAACTCTAGCAACAGGTTAGTCTTAGGAAAATAAGTAAAGCAAACACTAAGCTGAGAACGTTAAATTAGTCTGTTTGGTCTGTTTAGGTTTTTCATGGCTTTGACTTTGACCTTGGAGCCCACTAGTTCCCTTAGCAAGCATTCTTTGAGGGCCGGCTATGCACAGAGGCTGCGTGCGCCAAGCACTGGGGGCCAGGATGGAAGTGGGAAGTTTGCCTTCAGCAGTGAACGGGGTCGGGGGAATTTGTGTTCCCATTCTTCCTAAGAAGTTTGTACCAATGTTTTTTCCCTCTTCCACAGTCAGCTGCCCAGCGTCACCTGTGTGATGGGACATTTGATTTTGAATTGGGTTTCTTTTTTAACATAGCCAAGTTAGCTGACACAGAGCAGCTACTAGATGATGGAAACAGGCCCCTGTTGTTTGGATTTCACTTTTTTTATGGCCTTCAGTAGGACCCCAACTGGTCACTAACCAGATGTCACCGTCAGCACACAAATCATGACCACCCTCTCCAGGCCCAAGGCAGCCTCACTGGGATGCGCCCATTCCTTCCGGAGCCCGCCTTGGGGTGCCCATTCTCACTCCTGCTCTTTCTTCTGTCCATGAAGTACCCCTGGGTCCCGTACCCTCCCTCCACCCACACACCCCTGCCCCTGCTCTCTTCTCTGCTTCTTTTTTTTTTTTTTTTTGAGACAGAGTCTTGCTTTGTTGCCCAGGCTAGAGTGCAGTGGCATGATGTCCGCTCACTGCGAGCTCCGCCCCGCTGGGTTCATGCCGTTCTCCTGCCTCAGCCTCCCGAGTAGCTGGGACTACAGGCGCCCGCCACCACGCCCGGCTAATTTTTTTATATTCTTAGTAGAGATGGGGTTTCACCATGTTTGCCAGGATGGTCTCGATCTCCTGACCTCGTGATCCGCCCGCCTTGGCCTCCCAAAGTGCTGGGATTACAGGCCTGAGCCACCACGCCTGGCTTCTTCTCTGCTTCTTAAAATTCTGTTCATCCTTAAGGCCCAGCTCCAATGCTATTCTCAGACCCTCCAGCTACTTCCAGCTCTTTCCTCCAGCACCATCCAGCACTTGCTGTGTTGAAGCCTCTTTTATGGTTTCCACCGTGTGTGGCTTTGAAGAGGAGTGATGTGTGCTCCTGTTCCGTCTCCCATGAAGTTAGTAGCTCTCCGAGAGCAGGATTTGTTTCATTTTGGTCTTTTTTTATGTGGGAGGATCACGGCAGCTGTTGGAATAAATGATTGAGAAAATGAAAAATAAGCACACAGCCCTCCTCTTCATCTGGAAATGCTGGTCCTGCTTACCTGCGTGAGAACCCAGAGTTTCATGAACTGCTTCATGAGCCGATGAGATCTGAAGCCATGAAGGCGAGCTGGAGCCCGAGTGCAGGGCCCGCCCAGGCACCAGCTGTCACGCACGCACGTGGCGGAGGAGCTTGACAGCTCTGGGAACTCTGCAGGTGTCCTCCCACCGCCTAGGCAGGGGCTCATTCCCCTGGCCATGGCACTGGCACAGGGGGATGTGGGAAGGCAAGAGAGGAGCAGGAAAGGGAACGGGGGGCAGTGACGAAGAGCAGAGCCTCCTAGTCACAGGTTTTCTAGAGGAGACTTTCTCAGCCTGGAGCTATTGCTATGTGGGCCCTGGCATGTTTGTCGTGGGGATGTCCTGTGCCTTAAAGGATATGTGTCAGCATTGCGGCCTCTACTCTCTAGAGGCCAGTAGCACTCCCTCAGGCTGTGAAAACCAAGGAAGTCTCCTGCTGTCGCCAAATCCACCCCTCTCCCGCTGAGAATCCCCGTTCTAGAGAGAAAAGAAACGTGAAGCTGTTGATCAGTTCCAGGGCATTGCACACCCCCCATCCTCGGTTTACTTAGACTTTCTGTTCTCCTGTGCTCCTATTCCTGTATTTTTCCTCTCAGCCTAAACTGCTATTTTAGAGCAGATGAGCTTCCACTATGCTCTAACTGGCCAAAGTCAAAAGAAGGCCTGTTGGAAGGAGGAAGGGGATTTCATGGAAGCACCAGGCCACGTAGCATGGGATTCATCACCCAGGCCTGGTGGCAGAAGGGTTTGAATCCCAGCTCCGTGGCTTTCAAGTGGTATAACCTCAGGCAAGCCACATAACTGCTCTAAGCTTCCGTTTCTCCCCCTGTTCCCTAGGGATGCGCTGGCACCAATACATGGGCTGGGTGTAAGTAACACGTGGACTAGTGCTGAGAAGGCGCTCAGTGCCATGCCTGGCCTGCGATGTGGGAAGACCAGCCCCATGGCCCTCGGAGGCCATCAGCTACTCTCTGCTCCCTTAGCTTTATTTTGCTGAATGTTCTCTTCCAGCCTCACATCTCCAGACAGGCTTCCTTTACCCACACATGGCACAGCCTGGCTGCCAGCCCCAGGTCTAGAAGACCTGGTGGTTCTGACATCCACTCGGCTAGCCCAGTCTCTGTGTCCCAACTTCAGAGTCACAGTGGATAGGCAGAGGCCTGGGTGGCCTTGTTCAAGACGCTGTCCACTCTCGGTCCATTCTGTGAGCTGATGACGGGGAGAGCCTCCCCAGGCCACACCATTCAAGATGAAGAGGTAGTAGGCCACGTGACAAGTCCGGTTTCATTACCCAGGGGACTTTCTCCTCTGCGTCTTCACAGCACTCTTTTTTTTTTTTTTTTTTTTTTGAGACAGAGTCTCGCCCTGTCGGCCAGTCTGGAGTGCAGTGGTGCCATCTCGGCTCACTGCAACCTCTGCCTCCCATGTTCACGTGATTCTCCTGCCTCAGCCTCTCAAGTAGCTGGGATTACAGACGCACACCACCACACCCAGCTAATTTTTTGTATTTTTAGTAGAGACGGGGTTTCACTATGTTGGCCAGACTGGTCTTGAACTCCTGATCTTGCGATCCACCCGCCTCAGCCTCCCAAAGTGCTGGGATTACAGGCATGAGCCACCGCGCCCCACCACTGGCTCCTACTCAAGACATTTCTACCTGCCTTTTGTGACCTTGGTTAATTCTGGGCCGTCTTTCTCTCAAGCGTGGGTTCCTGAATGGAGACGCACCCAGAGATTACTATTCTCTCCCCACCCTCTGGCCCTAGCATGTTAGTTAGCTACTCCATGGTGGCGGTGGTGGTGGATACTGACATAATGAACTTCATTTACAAGGTAGGCATCTTCAGAAGGGGTTTTGGATGATGAGAAACAGTGCTGGGGGATGGGGAAGAATGCTGGGGTTTATGCCAGCTGTGTTCTTCAGGGCTTTTACCTCCTGGCCCCAAGAGGCACTTCAATATCGGATTGTCCCAAAGAAGTGATTAGCTGTCTGAAAAAGAGGAGAGGACAAGGCCCATGTTACCTTGGTTTCTGCTTATCTTCCCTTAGCTCAGTGACTTGCCTGGGCCCCTCGTGTCCTGTGACTGCTTAATTAATGTGCAGATTTCCCTTTAGGATATCAACTTACGAGTGAAGTGGCCCAACGATATTTATTACAGCGACCTCATGAAGATCGGCGGAGTTCTGGTTAACTCAACGCTCATGGGAGAAACATTTCATATACTTATTGGTAAGTTTCAAAAACCTTTCCCCCAGCATTTTTAGATTAATAAAACAATAAAAATAAAAATGGTTAATGGCAGGAGCAGATGATCATATGAGATTATTTTGAGTCTTGTAGTTTTGGAGCAGGGTATAGATGCAGAGAGATTGGTCGAAAGCACTTCACAGAGTTCAGCATTCTCTCTGTGTGACCACGGAAACCACCAAAGTGGTATCATATAAGCAGGTATGTTCTTACATCCTTCCACACTCCTGCTACTCATTGAATTTGAAATGGCGAAAATAAACATATAACGTTCTATTCTCTAATAAGAAAAGGAAAAGTTAATTTCTTAAATAGTTCTCCTGGTGTCTTGCATTCTTATCCTGACGTTCCTGGACCATGAAAGAGTTGGCATCATTTTAACCTTCAGAAGAAGCTCCAGGCTGGTCAAGGCGGGGTAAAGAATCCCTGTTTCACCTCAGCACATCCACATCAGGCAAGAAGATGGATTCAGAGGCGACCTCAGAAGTCCTTAGGTTCCTGGCCGTCCAGCCATCAGCTTCACTCTGTGGCAGTAGAACCTAATCTGTGTTCAGAAGCCAGCAATGGTCAAAAAACATGTAACCATGTGTTTCAGGTGCCAGCCAGGGAATACAAGTCCTGTGTTACCAGCTCTGCCACCAAGGGGCAATATTATTCTGGGCAAGCTACTTCATACCCTTAGAGCTCCATTTCCTATCTTCTTTTTTTTTTGAGACAGAGTCCAGCACTGTTGCCCGGGCTGGAATGCAGTGGTGCAATCTCAGCTCACTGCAACCTCTGCTTCCCAGGTTCAAGCGATTCTCCTTTCCTTAGCCTCCCAAGTAGCTGGGAGTACAGGCGTCCGCCACCACACCCAGCTAATTTTTTTGTATTTTTAGTAGAGACAGGGTTTCACTATGTTGGCCAGGCTGGTCTCAAACTCCTGACCTCATGATCCACCCGCCTCCGCCTCCCAAAGTGCTGGGATTATAGGCGTGAGCCACCGTATCCAGCCTCCCTCATTTCCTATCTTTAAGTGAGTAATTGCAGTTAATGCAGAGATTCCTAGGTAGGGGCCACAGACAACAAGGAGGCTCATGGATGGCTTCAGGGAGCTAACGAATGTTATCAGCATGGGGTAAGCGAAGGCCAGGCATAGTGGCTTGAGCTCATAATCCCAGCTACTTGTGAGACTGGGGTAGGAAGATCACTTGAACCAGGAGTTCAAGGCTACAGTGAGCTGTGATTGAGCCACTACATTCCATTCTGGCTGACAGAGTGAGACCCTGTCTCAAAAATAAAAAATAGGCTGGGTGTGGTGGCTCACACCTGTAATCTCAGCACTTTGGGAGCCTGAGGTGGGTGGATTGCTTGAGTCTGGGAGTTCGAGACCAGCCTGAGCAACATGGCGAAACCCTGTCTCCACTAAAAATACAAAAAATTAGCTAGGCGTGGTGGCGCATGCCTATAGTACCAGCTACTCAGGAGGCTGAGATGGGAAAGTCACCTGAGCTCAGGAGGTTGAGGCTGCAGTGCGCTATGATGGCTCCACTGCACTCCAGTCCGGGCAACTGGAGTGAGATCCTGTCTCAAAAAAATAAATAAATAAATAAAAATAAAAAATAAAGTAGAGGAATGAAACATTTTCCTATGGTGAGAACCCATAGCTTTTATTGACTTCTGAAGGCCATGGGATGGGGTCTCTGACTTTGGGGATTTAGAGCAGCCAGCAGGGTGCTCACTGGTCCTTAGAAGGACATAGCCGAAGTGGCCAGTAGTCAGTGTTGCTACTCATCCTAGGAATTCCAGTTTTCTGAACACAAGGGAGAATTTTCAGTGCTATATGGCAGTTAATTTAATGCGTTACGAGCGTTCAGTAGGCGCTTCAGTGACTGTACGTATGGAACGGATGAATACATGAACAACTGCAAGTTCTGCCCCTGTTGCCGTAGTTACTTGTTTTTTTCCAGAGGTAATTGACATTGCTTTGTATTTTAATAGCCAGTATATTATTTTAAAATCTGAGACCAGTCAGTCCTTCCCTTCACACGGGAAACGGCAGGACACTTGCCGGAGAATGCTGTTGTTACAAATGGCATCGTTCTGTCTGTGGCAAATGTTTTGGGGATTTTTTTCTTAGAGTCACTGAACACATGGCAGTTTTCTTACTGCCTAGTTTTTCCAGTATTTCATTTCTTCCTTCAGACCTCTTGCAGGCCGATTCAGGGTCCTGCTGAACACTGAAGTCCAGCTTTTCTGAAGATACCGCCCTCTCCCTGGAGAGGCTAGTGGTGTTAAGTAACGGCACAGATAAGCCTGTTCAGATACCATCCCTGGTAACTCTCATGAAGCCTTGGTTTAGGAGCCTGTAAAAAGTCCACTGAAAATGGGTCGGCGTCTTGCCAACAGCGTAACCTTAGCACCAAAGACTTCCAAGGATAAAGTATTAAAAGATGCATTCTAGGGTGATGCCATGACCAAGGTTTGAAATTTCTGAATCCAGAGTTTACTTCCCAAATCCTGAATAAAACTCTATTTTGAAGCATGGGATCTGTTACTCAAGTAGGAGAAGAAACAAGAGATTGTGTTCTCTATTGGACTCAGTGCAGAGCTGCAATGCTTGGTAAACCACTTATTTCAGAGGCAACACTGATACGTTTGTCCCACATTTAATAGCATCTGTTGAATTAAATTGAATCAAATGTGGCTTTCTTTTTTCTTACCTTCTTATTTGCAGTAAGGTTGAGATGGTTTTAGCTTGAACAAGAATAATAAAAGAAGGACAAAAAGGAAGATGGACAAAAAGATATAAGTCATTCTTCAAGTGGTTAGAGACACGAAGTCTGAAATGAGGACAAGGAAGGAGGAAGTTGACAGTCAAGACTGTAACTTTTTCCAAGTGGCAGAGAGGAATGTGTGATGCCATCAACAGGCTGAGCTGCTCAATTGTTTGTTTTTGTCCAGGCTGTGGATTTAATGTGACTAACAGTAACCCTACCATCTGCATCAACGACCTCGTCACAGAATACAATAAGCAACACAAGGCCGAACTGAAGCCCTTAAGAGCCGATTATCTCATCGCCAGAGTCGTGACTGTGCTGGAGAAACTGATCGAAGAGTTTCAGGACAAAGGGCCCAACAGCGTCCTTCCCCTTTATTACCGATACTGGGTCCACAGGTCAGTGCTGGCTCGTCTTCATTCTTTTCAGGTCCTTTATTAGTATCTTAGTAGTTCAGTATTTTTTTTTTCTTTGAGACGGAGTCTCGCTCTGTCCCCTAGGCTGGAGTGCAGTGGCGCCATCTCGGCTCACTGCAACCTCTGCCTCCCGGGTTCACCCTCAGCCTCTATAGCTGGGACTACAGGCGCCCGCCATCACGCCCGGCTGATTTTTTGTATTTTTAGTAGAGATGGGGTTTCACCGTGTTAGCCAGGATGGTCTCGATCTCCTGACCTTGTGATCTGCCCACCTCGGCCTCCCAAAGTGCTGGGATTACAGGCATGAGCCACCGTGCCCGACCGTAGTTCAGTATCTTAAAACAAGGGACTGAGCGCTGGTCTGAATGATTATTTTCTGTGACTCTATTGGAGAAAATGCATGGACACCACCTTGACCAAGTTAGCATCGCCAATAATGGAGCAAACGGGCATCTTATGCCTCCTGGTGGGATGCGGTGGAAAGAACCGAAATCGTGAGAGAGTTTCACATTGGTTTAATCTGATTCTAATTGTGAAGAAACAATCAGATGCATCTAAATTGTCAAACCTTCTAGGTAACAGTGGTACTCAAAATGAGATCCCAGGCAGTGGCCTCAGCCTCAACCAGGGGCTACCGCATCAGAAACCCCTGGGCTGGGCCCAGCACCCTGTGTCATAACAGATGCTCCGGGGATTCTCACGCAGCTGAAGTTCGAGGACCACTCACTGATTTTACAACCACAGGCCTGTGCCCTGCAAAAATGTCAGTGTCTGCACACAAACAATTGGACAAAAAAAGAGGTGGCAGAATTGTTTGGGATTAGAGAAGATGAAAGAGGCATGACATCTAAATATAATGTATGTGATCCTGGATGGAGGGAAATATCCACAAAGGATATTAAAGGAACAGTGGGAATGACATGAACATGGACCTCTTGTATCCAGACTTTCTTGACTGGTCATGGTTAATGCTATTATAATTTTGTAAGAGGTTCTTGTTCTCAGGAGATAAAGTATTTAAGCAGAAAGTGTCACAATGCCTGCAGCTTTTAAAAAACTTTTTTAAATTTTCATTTGTTTTCTATTTCTATTCCTTTTTTTTTTTTTTTTTTTTAAGAGAGGGTCTTGCTCTGTCACTGGAGTGCAGTGGTGCCATCATAGCTCACTACTGAAACCTCGAACTCCTGGGCTCAAATGATCCTCCTGCCTCAGCCTCCCAAGTAGCTAAGACAACAGGAATGTGCCACACAGCCCACTAATTCAAAAAAGTTGTTTTTTTTTTTTTTTTTTTTTTTTTTGTAGAAGCAGGGTCTCACTATATTGCCCAGACTGGTCTTGAACTCCTGGCCTCAAGCAATCCTCCCACCTTGGCCTCCCAAAGTGCTAAGATTACAAGCATGAGCTACCACACCCAGCTGCAACTTACCTTTACATGATGCAGGAAAAAAAAAAAAATGTGTGCTTATATGTGTTTATATGTGAAGAAAGAAAGCAAATATGGAAAGTATTTTCATTTGGTGTGAGAATGGAAGAGAATATGAGGTTTGTTGTACTATTCTTTCAGCTTTTCTGTGATTTGAAATTCTTCAAAATAAAAACTTGAGGAGAAAATTCTATATGTTGAAAGCTGTTAAGAAGGATGTGAGTTGAGTATATTTGGAAAATATTCGAAAGAAATAGGATCAGGATGAATTTCACTTGTGGCTGATGTGACCCAACTTTGTTTTATGAGATAAAACATTGTTTGCCAACTCAGGCTATTTTCCTCCAACCTCAGCCAAAAAACCTAGAGTTGCAGAGTGTTTCTTAAAAGTGCTGGGAGATGAGGAAGTGGCTCGAACCATCACCGCAAATGACCAGAATTAGGAGAGTGATGTTGTGTGAAGAAATTTCGACTCCTTGTTGAACTTGCACCCTGCTGGTTCTTTGAGTAGTTCTTAAAACCATTCACCGGGGTGGAAGAAAGTCAGAGCTCAGCCCAGGCTGCCTTTTCCCCGCAGCGAGCCTCAGCCCTCTCCCCAGCACCCCCAGCCCTCTCATCATGGATTATTCTTCAGCTCATTGTCTTAAGCCGTCCTGTGACACCTCCCAGTGACCTCACGCTGTTCTTCCTTTTCAGTGGTCAGCAAGTCCATCTGGGCAGTGCGGACGGACCAAAGGTGTCCATCGTTGGCCTGGACGATTCTGGCTTCCTCCAGGTTCACCAGGAGGGTGGCGAGGTTGTGACTGTACACCCCGATGGCAACTCCTTCGACATGCTGAGAAACCTCATCCTCCCCAAACGGCGGTAATGCCGGGCGTCCCTGAGACGGGCCTGGGCCTGCCCTCCTGACTCACCGGGCCTGGTACCTGGGCAGCAGGTGAGGATGCCACTGGGATGGGGTCCGAGCCCAGTGCAGAACCACCACCGTGAGCATTCAGCTTTCATCGCGGCCGCCTGTCCGTGCCCACGCATCTGGAAATCTAATTTAGAGTTGTAGGTGAATTTTCTCTTCCTCCAATTCATTTGTGAAGTCTTTGGTTCTTTTTCTATGTTTCTGTTTTTTGTTTTAGGTTTGTTTTGTTGTCGTTTTCTTTGGTGTTTGAAGAGGCTCTGGGATAGATGGTTAAGAAGTAGAACATTTAGTTTAGGGAAAGCCCTCCCACAGGTGGGAGATCGGTCTCCCCTCTGGGGCTTGGACTTCTGTTTATCGTCAGGGGGAGTTTTTACATGGAAATGGCAATGGGAGAATTCAGATATTTTCCCAGTAGTGGAGACCTTTACCCCTAGTCTATGAAAAAACAAACCAAAATATGCTCTTGGGCCCAGGACAGTGGTAAGTTAGAGGTGTGCTATCACTGTCTGTAAGCATCTGGGGAGGTGTTGAACTATAAGAACATGATGTGACACTTAGTCATTGTTCTGTGTTTTTATTAGTGAAGGAAAGGGAAGGTAGACTTCCAAGAGTTACTCTCCCCCGGGTGGTGTGGCCCCGTAGCGAAGTCTAAACACCTGTAGAGACACAGCTAACCCGTGTGGTTGCGATGACCTTGTAGAGGAAATCGGTTGATTACTTTCACATCATTCAATGAGCTCTCCTTTCCTAAGGCAGTTTAAATGTCCTGAGTTAGGGACTTACTTTCTTAAGTAAGTTTAAATTTACTGCATATTGTGAAGAGATGGGATCAAGTTCAGAATCCTTAAATATCTGATTAGGCATCACTTGGATGAGGAGGTGGGCAATTTGGCTCTAACAGCTGGAGATGAAGGCACACTCATACCACATACAAGGGAGGACTTGGAGCTTTTAACCCAGTTTCAGATTCACTCTGAGATGTGGAGCATTCCTGCAAGACTGTGCAGCTCACAGGATACAGAAGACATAGCATTTCACTCAGAAGTCACAGGGTTTTTTGCCCCCCTCATTTACCCCCTATTACCAAGAAAGAAAATGTTATGGATACTGAACACCATCAGTTCAGAGGGAGGATGTGTGTGTGCGTGCCCGCATATGTGTGTGCGTGCGTGTGTACGCACATAGCTTTAAAAGAAGACATTCAAAATCTGATGTGCTACAAGTCTCACGAAAGAACAAAAGAAAGGAAGGCTTTTGATATGCACTCGCTTTTCCCAGATGTACACCATGCCTTTTCCATGTCCCTCCTATCTCTGTTGAACTTATGAATCATACCTGTTACTTTTCAGCTTTAAAAGGCCAATTTTTGTCCAGTCTTCTGTCTTCCTGCCAGTCCCAGCTGAAATTAGTGGAAAGAAAGTTTGATGGCACTTTCAGCTTTGAACAAAATCCCTTCATTGTAAACTAGCACCATCTTTATCCAGGTCTTACCCAGTCAGGCTAATTCCAGAAACTTGTGGTTTTTAGTATAAAATTTGTCTACCTTTAGCTAAGCACAGGACCGCCCCATAGGAAGAAAAAATACCCAATATATATTTTTTGGAAATGAAACATTAAAAGAACTTAAAAAGTAATTTTTGGAAATGAGGCTTCAATTAGAATTATTATTCTCAAAAAAATAAAAACGAACAAACAAACCACAAAGAAACCACTCTTCTGAAATGCCCAAGCCTTCTTTTGAAATTAGAAGCTCAAATAAAATATAAGTCCACAGCACCCCCAAATTACAAAATGGACTCACCCTTGAGAGGGCGTCTGCAAAATATCATCAGGGACAAAGATCTCGAGGCTAACGATGCAGGTTTCATTTCTCAGACTTTGTAATATAAGGCAAGCCCTCTCAGAGCTGCCATCATCACTTTTTGAATTTCTTTGGGGGTTATTTAATGAAAAACATGCTATGTTTTGTTTTAAGCTGAAGTCCTATTCTGGACATTCTGCTTTGGGAAAAAAAAATGTTATCATTTAATTTCCTTTCTGCAAATTAAAACTAATGACGTGTGGCCTTGTCAAAGGCTATGGAGATGTCCCGGGCATACTGCTGTGCTCTGCGCTTTCCAACAGGCGCTTCGCCGCTGCGCAGGAGACCCAGTTGTCTTGAGGGAGATAAAGCAGCCTTGAAGCAGATGCTGCGTTTTCCATAAATCTGATTTTGCCTCACGTGAACCAAAGACTCTCAAAACTCTGCTTCCTATAGAATTAGCTGAATAAAGGCATTTTACTGATAGCTGTTAGTGTTAGCGAAACCTGTCTACCTGCTCTACCACACTCTCCAATTTGGGCCACTTATGCACCCGGCAACCTGGGATGTGAAGGAGCTTTAAAGTCTTAATGGGAACTTGGCATTTTCCTCATGATCTTTAAAATGTGGTCACTAAACTCAGGATTGGCCTGTGCTTTTAGAACACTAGAATAGCCCTTGCTTTAGAGGCTGTGCATTGAGTATTGACCGTATTTTGTAAAAGGCAAGATATCCTCCCTTTCAGGCTGGTAACAAGTTTCAGGGGGACTCTTGGGGAAGTGCCCCCTAAAATCGAACACAGCAATAACTGGGCTTCCTGTCCCCACCCCCACCCCAGCAGTGCTTTTTGGCACTGGGAACTCTGCCAGGGAGTGGTGGAAGTAGGAAGGATTTGTGTTCGAAGTAAAATCATGGTTGAGTTTCACTGCAGCAGGCTGACGTTGCCTGATGTGAGAGCAAGCGGCCCACTGGGTTGCCGGTGCACAGGCCCACATCGGGGGAGCACGGGCCACAGAGCACAGCCTCTGGGGGTCCCCCAAGCCACAGCATATGCAGCATGGCCGCCCCTTGCCCTGGAGTCTGGGAACAAAGAGAGGAGCCAGCCTCGCCACACTGCTTCAGATGGAGAAGGGAGGCGGGGTGGGCGTCCGTTCTCCAGATCTGTTTGCTCTTAACAGGCAGAACATGGGAGAATCCTTATTGCTGGTTAATCACTATGCATATTTGAAATAAAAGAAAGTGTCAGCCTCTGCATTTTAACTTCTCAAGGAATGCCTCTGAAAAGAATCACTTTAAACCAATGCCTATAAAAAGCAAGTCTACCAAAATAAACTAAGACTTTCTATGTGGTTTGGGCTCAACCTTATTTTTACAAGTTTCATTTTTAAAAGTAGGCAACTACTTTGGGTTACAGTATTTTTATTCATATTTAAACATATTTTTACAAAATAAATAAAGTGTTTTACATAATAAGGAATATGTATTTCCAAGTATTAAGAAGCCAGGTTTTTTTTTTGTTTTTTGTTTTTTTTTGATGTATTATTGACAGATGTATTCAGCGCCATACACAAGAGAAATATTATTACTCCAAAGAATGAAAGTTAATAAAACCCCAAAGCAAAAACCCTTTTAATTGAGGTGAGAAATAAATGTAACAACTTCTAGATTATTTTTAGGATTTTTCTTATTCTTTTGTGGCAACTGCTTGACTTTTCATGTGAACAGTTTTTCCTCCCAAGATTTTAACCTTATATGTCATACTTAAGTTTAGGAACAGCTTGAATAATGCATTCTAGATAACACATGGGCTATGATTCACTAAAATTCCAAGCTACTGTAATTTTATGGCATTTATTTGCAAATGTTCTTTGTATCCCATTTTATCTGTAACAGCACCCCCAGTCTACCTTAACCATCTTATAGCTCTGGTAAATTAAAACTTAGGTAGACTTTATACAAGATCCATTGGCCGTATTAAACCTCCCCCACTCTTAGGGCTTAGGGCAGAAGGGACGAAGGCAGGGCTGATAGGACTTTTAAAAGGATAAAAGAGGTGGGGGCAAGGGAGGCAGAAAATACAGGCTCTTACAGATACCCTCCACACTGCCCTCCACACCCAGGCCACTGCTCTACAAAGGTATGAATGGAATGGCTTTTCTAGAAAAGGGTTTCCAAGAACATAAAGGAATTCCTTTCCCTGGGAGGCCCCGTGGAGGGCTGAGCCAGCCTGGAATTGGGCTTATTTCTCAAATCCATTTGATCTGGCATTTTTGTCAACATGGTACATGTTAGGACCCACGACGGTTTTTTTTCCTTTTTGTAAAAGAGAGGCATATGTATTAAAATGCTTCCTCTTCCCCTACCAGAGCCTCACAGAAGTCAAGAAACGCTATCCCCAGCTTGAATGTGCAGACTCTTCAAGATGGAGGTAACAATATTAGGTTGCCATAGTAACAGCTCTGCTAACTTTGCACTCAGCCCTGGCCGTCCTGAAGCCAGCTCATGTAAGAATCTTCCTTCATGTTCTAGGTTATGAAAACGGTGAAGTTTGTTTAGACAAGGACGTTTTCACTAGTACACATTTTCTTTTTCAAGTACATACACACTGTTACGCCTGTCCACGTTGCCACTTGTAAATCTATAATAGGGTCTTTTTCCTCAACAGTAACCTTTGTTATTGAACTGCTCCGATAGCCTTGATTTATTTTTACAAAATACAGCCCCAAAAGTTAATAACAAGGTAGACGCAAAAGCATTTTGCGGTACTTTATTGAAAAATGTCGGTGGTATCTCCTAGTAATCAAACCTACACCTTTCAAGAATCATGGTTTAATTATAAGACTCATGAACATTTAAAAAAAAAAAATACCCTCGGCTTCTTTCCTGTGCACACACTCACAAGGAACTGTGAATGAGGTATAGCTGAGTGCGTGGAGAGGCGGGCACCTCCCTTCCTACCATCCAGCCCCTTCGCTACATGACCCACAGTCCTAAATTTGCAAATTGTGACTCTTACCATGAGGCCCACTGACAGACACCCTGTAGGGATTGTATCAGGTCCTCACTAAGTGACACAGGGTTGGCAAAAAAAAAAAAAAAAAATTCACATTTTGAGAGCAGCTGGTGTAGGTGCACTTGATTCTAGAACAATGAGTTTAAAACATTTGGGAAAACCTCTTTCCGTTCAGGTGGAAAAAGTTTCCTAATATAAACCATTTTGATAAAGCAGCAGAATGATGCAGTGTTGATAGGATGAAGAAAATTGAAAGATGGTGGTTCAATGCATTGGTGCAGTTCAGAGCCATGGCAGGATTTTTCAATGTTGAGATCTTTAAGCAAAACCCATAAAAAATAAAAATTAATGGAAGCTCATTTTTTAAACACTGCTGGTGCTTTACGAAAGGATTTCTGTTTACCTGTTGCACACGTAACGTTCTTATGACGTTTTCTTGATGTGTAGAAAATGCTTAAAATGTCTACATCATTTTCATTACATCCCCTTAAGCATGTTTTTCATCCACACGGTGCAGTCCATTGACAGTGTTTGGTATTGCACATGCAATTTAACTTTATTAGCACTATTTGTAGCAAACATGAGCCTAGTGAATTACAGAGCTGTGTGGACCAGAGGGATTTTGCCACGTAATAATTAAGCTTGACAGGGTCATTCTCATAAACTCTCTGGCTACATATATATTTTTGCATTTAATGCCTATTCAATATATTCTGAAGGTGCTACTCTTGGTGTTATCAAGAGTTCATAGAGGTTAGGGGGAAGTAAGAGCTTGTTAATGGATTTGTGAAGCACACCCATGTTCACAGACACACAAAATGGAATTGCATGGTCACCCCCTTAGTCTTGGCTTGTTGGTTTTTGTATTGAAGAAAGGGTTAAATAAAACAAAAATAATGAGACTCTTGAATGACTTAAAGACAGTGGAGTTGTGTATTCATGGGACTTACAATCGTCACTTCTGCCTTCACCTAAGCATCTAAAAGGGCTCGGACACAGGCGTCGCCTTCCAGGGCTGCCGTCCACTTGGAAGAGCGGACTGCGGCAGGGTGGGTTTCCCTCCTGAAAGTGGAGGATTTTTGCGGAGTGAAATCGCTTAAATCCCCCAGCGGGACTATCGTGGAACGTTGGGGACAAGGCAAGATGCGTGAAGCCCGATTTCAAGGTGAGGAAACCAAGCC